ACTGGATAAGAGACTTTATTTTTGAGATAAAAAGAACGTCTTGATGCATTCTCAATCATCCAGGAAAATAAATCTCCAAAAGTTGATTCTGTTCATCTGGACGTAGCGTTTTCTGGGAGAAACGTTTCGTCACTCATCCAAGTGACTTCTTCAGTCTCAGCTGACTGCAGGTTTCCCCAATCTTATAAACAGTACATTTGCATAATGACTGAAACCAGCCCACTGAAGGAACAATGGGCTGTGAGGTCAGTTCCTTAATCATAATTATTAAGGTCAGTTCAAGGAACTCAAGGAACTATTGAGGTCAGTTCCTTAATTATGACACATACTTTTGTGTGTCTTTGCCACTGATATTTGACATCGAGTAAGACTGACAGGCCACTCGTAGTTTGTTACAAGAAATTTGTTTAATTAAGCACAGCCTCTGTGAGACCAAATATAAAGAACACAAAGCTACCTTTTGAAAAGTCTAATAATTCATTTGCTAAAGGGGAAAAGCCTGTTCTTGGTCTACCTGTCTGTGTACATGAATTATATAATCTCCATGTGCTGCCTTCGAAACATTGTAAACATTGGTAGCAAATTGGTTTCGTTTATTTGAGAAAACATGCTGTAGATTCAGGGCAACAGCCACTGAGCAATCTAGCTTTATAGTTAGCTTCACATTGCCTCATTTATTTTCCCAGACAGTGCTCTCCTGTCACACATCAGAACTTCAGCTGACAACCACAGACACAAACAGGTGGGCACTGAGAAAGAACATCCATGAAGACACATGCATGTGTTATGAATTTAGTACTACTGAAAATATACTGCACTGTAGAAACATTTAAGAACAGTAATTATAACCAAAGATCAGAATATCATCTCTTATAATATTACCTTTTAATTGATGTGTAAGCAAAATTCTTTCAATAGTGTTTCCCAACTAGGGCCAACAACTGCAACTGTTTCCAAATTTCTTTCCCATGACTTATCTCCTTTTTTTGGTTTATTTGTTTCAAATTTAAAGAGAAATGCATGAATATTGTTAAATAAATGAAAAGTTTCTTTCAGTAAGTATAACTCCAGACATTTATGAGTTTAATCCTCTCTTAAAATGGCACCTGATGTGCACAACAGGGTCCAGCTTGAATTTGTAGTTTGGCCAATTAGAGTTGGCCTCACCTCAACATATTGCATTCAATCTCAGCTAGCGGTGAGCTGTTTATCTTCCTGAATACAAGATGTTGCCAGTCTATCTCCCCCAAGAATACTAGTTATATTAAAACAGACTTCATCAGAAGCAGCAAACTATATCCAGGCTTCACAGGGGCCTGTCAGCAACATCTAAGAGCTTGGCCCAGGCTTAAAGCCACGAGCAAGCGGCCAGTGGGTGAACTGAGTATTACTTTGGTATGCCACTTGGACTATCCATTAAGATATCAGCACTGAAAGAAACATAAGAAAGCCAGAGCGTAAAATGATAGCTGTTCCAAGTTCACGTATCATCATCCAGGAAAAGAGCTTATTAACACATCCAAGTAAAATCCTCTTTTTTATTTCCCCTCAAAATTTTGGGACTCTGTAAAGTTGAGCAAACACAGACGAAAATGATTTGCTAGTCATCTAATATTCGTATTTAATTTAGTATAGCACAAAGACATCTTATTAAATGCTGGAATGTCAAACAATTTGCCCAGAATGTCTTTCCTTTACATTTGAAAGAAACAGTCAGTCTGGGATGTCCTTCAGTAATCATCTTACTGACCTGTTGCCAGTCAGCCTAATTAGCAATGAGATGTTCTGTCAGGTCTTTACCTTTTTGTAGCACAAGTTCAATAAGTATTTAAATAATAATAATAAAAATGCCTACGTTTCAAGTATAAAATGATGTTTTTGTACAATTTACAATTCAATATAGGTTTATATGATTTAGTTAATCACTGGACTGCATATTTATTTACACACTAAACTCCATCCCAACTTTTTTGGAACTGTATGGGTTGTACTTCTTCATCTTCTTCGACCATTTTTGTGGAACTTGGAGGCAGTTGGATAATGCCCAGCATTCCCACAAGATAGAATATAATTACACAGACAAATTGTAATCCTGATTAGCCCCAGCAGCCTTCCCAGCCTGTTTACATAATCACATTGAGATAAAGTCTTCATCAAGGGCTCAGTGGCCAGATTACAGTCTGTGTAGAACCCACCTGATTACCAATAATTAGAGACTGCCCAGTATAGACTTAATAAAGACACAGACACACACACGTGATAGATAGAAGAAAATGTCAGAAATACAATGTAATCACAATAAACAGAAGCAGTGCCACACGACAGATGGACAATTTTCAACAATCTGCTCGCAATCATTAATTGTTCATTGTCTTTTCAAGGGTCCACGATACAGCCCAGTGCCTCTGTGCTCTCTTTGCCCCTTCAGCTTCCTATGAGGACACACCTTCCTAATTTTCATTTGTAAGACCCAAACAACAAAAAATGAATGTCTGAGCAGATCTTGATATGCAAAATACCACTGAAAATTAATTAAATCCATAAAAAGTATGAATATAAAGTGAAACAGCTTCCATCTGCTTCACTATTCTAATAATCATAAACACTATACGAGTAAAGGGGGCAGATGAAGCATGCTGTGCACATAACCACAGTCTGGTTCTTCAGAGCATCACCACTTACATTCACATGATATTATCCATTTCTTCTGTAAGTACAGAAGATTTATTGTTGTGAACATATTGATTGTCCACTGATCGATGAACGCATTGCGACAACCATAAAGAAACGGACAAAGGCCGCTTTTGTACCCAAGGGAGGAGAGACAGATTGTTCATTGTCAGCGCAAAGGAATTCAATTGGTGTTTGAACCAGTTATTTTGATCATCTATTTCTTCATGTTTTTAAGGACTTTATCTTTAAAACCACCACAAAAAAATGTCAATGTCTACAGTTTATCCTCTTCAATTTGTATACGCAGTATTATATTCTCTTCAAGGATATGACCAAGTTGCATTGAATTTCCACAGTTAATCGAACTGCTGCAATGAGTTTTTTTTTTTTTAATGAAATTGTGACATTGTATCTGTTCTGCACAACAAGTTGCAAAACTTTCATTCAACTTCACTATATATGTGCACAGTGCCAAGATCTAGACAGGTGATGGAGATACCTAAGAATCAGAACTGTGCATCACCCAGGACAGGATCCTGGCTCAAAAATAATCTAATTATAGTCACTGAAAAAGGACCTCTAGAAAAGTGCTGTTGTACAAACCCTGCCAGATAGGAGTCTTTTTTATGGCATCATTATCTTAGAAGGAGAAGTGAGTCACAGGCCAGATCTAGCAGATATCTTTTTACTTCTGCAAACACTGTGTCAACTGTCAGAGGCTGAGGAACAACAACTGTTCCATAGTTCTTCTTCCTCTCATTGCGCTGTGTCACTATTTCCTCCACTCTTTTCCAAAAGAAGATCCAGGCCTTCTCCCCTTTCCTCACGTCCTCCTCCTCTCCCTCCCCCCCATGCCCTCCCCCAATTCCTGGCTGGCTGTCTCCCTAATAAGTAACAGAACTAGGAGGATTGGCAGTGGCCTCAAGGTTTGACATTGCCACAGTGTGGGTGGTGATGAAACAGCACTGTGCCCGACTCTGCTCCACTCGACTTGGCTCATTCTTGGTGGGCGCTGCTACTCTGCATGCTGCACATCTCATCCACCCCCAAGAGACAGACATTGGAATTACTCACAGGGCGAGCAATCTGCATGTAAATTAATATCTGTGAGTCCCCACATTCGGAAATAAATACATGCATGCAACAGATAGGTAGCCATTCAGTCACACGCATAAAACATCGTTAATGTGTTTTACGCAAAGACATTCAGAAGTAACACATTTTGGGGGTTTGGGGAGGGGGTATTTTGTTTGCTTCTCTCTCTTTCGCTCTTTGCGTGTGATTTTAGTAAGAAATGAGAATTTCACCCAGTAGTGTGTGGTACTCAAACAGACACACTCATGCACACACACACACACACACTTCTGTTTCGACATGTAACTCCACTGCAAGGGCACGAGAATTTCATTTTTGCTTTCTGCAAATGTTTACGTGCCATTGAAAAGCGGATGAGGACATGTTAATTGCAGTGGGCTAAATAAGCACTCGTCGCTTTGACTGACTTTTACAGAAGCTGTAGTGAGTGAACAGAATGAATCTAATTAAAATAAAAACAGAGAGATGACACAATCGAGCTCAAAGTCGTTTTTTAAGGACTTTATTTTGAAAACTGCTGGGAAAGTGGCATTTTACTAGTGCAGTTGTTGGTCTGACTAAATCTTACTGATGCATATAAGAAGAAGACAGAGGGAAAATAAACTAAAGCAGCTGTTACCTCACCAGCTACATCGAGCACTGAAATGGTCAGACACAGAGACAGAGCCACCAGAATACTAAGAAGCCCACCTTACACCTGCCTGCACTGGCAACTTCGATAAATACCTGCCAACAAATTGGTTCTACACCACTTATCCTGCCTCGGTCCCTGAATGGGTTCAGTAACGTTTCTGGTGAGAAACCGGCCTGACGCAAATGTCACATAAATACTTGAAAAACTCGACCCAGAAACGATAAAATGCGCGCGGCTTTATCCCAAAAGAAAATCAAAATCTCTTAACATGATCAATCTTCGGCGCGTGCACTTGCGCCTCAACAATTCACTAGTTAGCCTACTAAGCAAAGCAGCTCACGTAGGCTATTAGAAGAAGCGTAGGCTACCGCAAGAATATCTATTGAGCGACTCTGTCAAAGCCTGCATTGAGCGCAAAACCGCCGAAATGCGTCCCTTAAAAGTCCATCCAGAGAGCCGAGGTAGGCTATTATGTGCACGTCTGTAACGTTAAAGGTTGTGATTTCTTGCACGCACGCACACATGCGCGCACGCAGACACACATCGAGGCACACCAAGCGCATTCGAAAATGCAGAGAATTGCGGCAGTGGCTCGTACCTTTCACACAAGTGAACATCAGTGAGAAGACGAGGTTCCAAAAAACAATCCCCGTTCTAATCCTCATCGTTTTGGCTTGAACAAAGTCCCGTCTGCCACATTTAACGCATCTCCTGTTGAAAACGTCCCGTAGTTCAATAGATCCGTCGTAGTATCCGTCTCTGTAAATCCCCTTCATGTTCACAACTAAAACATGTAACCTATGGCCAGTTTTCTCTTTCTGTGGGGGTTTAAGTAGATTCCCTTCTCAGAGGAGAAACAGGCAGAGCCGCCCGCCGCGCTTCGTCAGCTGATAGGAGAGAAGTGAGCAAGACTGAATTTTAGGATAGGACCACAGCAACCTGGACGAGGGCTCAACCATCTCTGCTGAGAGGGGCATCAAGTGCGAAGATCTCTGCTGGCGCGCTCTTGTGTCTGTCGTTCAACATATTTCCCTTTGAATCCCTAAAAACCGGCTGAGGACGGAGAAGAGTCTGGTCTACAGTTTGAATGCTGGCTTTATCGATCGGCAATTGAGCCAGGCAGAGTGAGAGAGGA